GCCTGGGAATTTAACTTTTCCAGTTATTGCTTTGTGTTGATCTACAGAAATGGCAAATGACAGCCTCCCTTTTTTAAATACCTTATATATTTACAATGCTTCCAATATACAGCTAGATAAAATATATGAAGCACAGGGTGCGGAAATGTCCACTTACCCACTATCTATTGGTGAGTGAAAATTCAATCTTTGCCAGTATAAATTCACCCCCTAGTGAGAGTAACATGTTTTTTTCTATCATATTTTAGGTCAGTCTAAGAGGAGTTTTCAACCATGGTAGGCATATTCTCTCTAAAATAGACATGATTTGTACATCACGATCATATGAAATGTTCACAGAAATCCAAAGCAGGAACACCAATCACCAATCAGGAAAATGAATCAGCACTATGGTGACACTCACATTAAGGAAATTACAACGACCTCAATATATTCCAGAATGAGAAATAAATATCCGGGCACACATAGGATATACCCAAGATTCCGACGTCATTTAGAGTGAAAATGTAGCCCACAAACAAATCCACATTACTCCTATTCAAATAAATATATTTTATTACTAAAAATACACACAGTTACAGACATCGTCTCCATAAAAATAAATGCAGCATATGTTAAACAGATGATAGATATAACAAGGGACTTATTTGTTACTGACTGTGAGCCTCAAACCGAAGCTTTTCTGAGGTTGAAATTTGTAATATTATTTATTTTCTGAAAGTCCTGTAATTTTAGTTCATTCAGAGCCTCTGGGAGATAGGCAATAACCATTACAATCTTATACAGCTGGGCCACTGAATGGAAGGAAAGAAGAATTTAACATTTATCTTGTTTACTACAAAGAGAGGTAAACTCACATACAAAGATCTTTTCTTCTGTCAGGCTGATGTATGCAGCCAATACACATCTAGGCATGTAAACATATGCGTACATCTGCTAAGCAAAGTGCTTTTTTTCTGTAATAAAATTAAAGTGTTCTGTAGAACATTCAGACATGCTACATTGATTTCAATGGAATGCTTTAAAGTGAAAGATGAATTTTACAGGAGTATTTCAAGTGCAACATTTTAAAGGTATAGTCTGTTTTTGTTTTATTGCAGTTTATTTTACTATGATTTTATATTACACATTACACTTTCACTGAATTTCAAGGACCAGCTAACAGCTACCTGTGCCCCCAGGCCCTTTGTAGGGCAATGTACATGTTAAATAGGAAGGTTTATTTAATCTAGTTTATAATGTCTGAGCATGGTCGAATGACTCTTCGGCCGCCGAATCTCCTTCAGATTACAAGTTTCATTCACTGGATATAGCCCACCCTTCGGCACCCCTTTTTTTTAGTCTTTCTCCTTTTACCATCTGATTTCGTATTGTTGTTTTTAGTTCCCCCTCATTTTATTAGCCACTTGGTATACTCTTTTTAGGTGTACCTTCACGGCTATTAAAAAACACCTTGTGTATCACAGATCTTGATTTATTGTGCAGTTATGACAATAACCACACATATAATGTCCATGTAATTATAAATATTGTATATGTGTGAATGGTGTGTAAAGAAGCGTATGTATATTTGTGTGTGTACAGCTAGAGTGAGGATATGTATGTATGTCTCTGTATTGCATGTGCTTATTTGTGTATATAGTATAAGTGTATATTTGCGGCTATAAAGTTAATGTAAAGGCATGTGTACATTTCTGTGTACTATCAATATATAAGAATGCAGGGTGTGTATGAGTGTAGTGAAAATATATGTGAATAATCCCAGGGTAGTAAATCATTTGAGAGCTCAATACCCTTACTATGGCCGCAATGTATATTTTGGATAAGCTTTTTAAATGTTTCATTTTTTTAAAATAACTTTTATAGTAATAACATTTTGAAAATAGTTGATATTTTTATGTTTTTAAATATTTTTATATTTTATATTTATATTTGTTGATATTTTAATAATTACAAATATTTGTAAAAGAGTATCCAAAAATATGAAATCACATATGAAAATGTATTTAAAAATATTAAATTAAGACCTATATTTGAGGAAATTAGAGTTCCCACACTTGTTACTGTGAAGCGTGGAGCACTCCTTACATTACAGGAGCATTTACACAAAATATTTTACATTATAATAATGAAATGCTGAGATGTACAGGAAGAAGTGATGTACCTTATTTGTATGCTGTGTAGTATCGGTATATGCTCTGTATATCATCCTGTTCTTCCATCTTCATGATATGCAGCCTTTATTTTGACAAACCGACGTATCCCTAAAAGATATTTCTGTATCTGTCTGCCATTAGGGTCCTTGACCCTCGTACGTTCTAAGCTCTACTCTGTAAATGAATGTTATTGGTCTCCTGACAGTATTAGTCTGTCAATACAAGGTGTGTGCATGTGTGTATGTGAATGCAGGAGATTATTTGTTTTTAGTGTCAGTGGAATGTATTTGGAGAATCCTAATGTGTGTGAATGTAGAAATTCAATATGAAATATTGGTGTGTACATGCAGATGTCCCCCCTTGGGCGTAGCTCAGTGCAGAGAGCTCCTATCTCGTTAAGGGGGTGACCCAGGTCAAATAGTTTGATTACTTAGGTAGGGGGAGTGGCACGAGGGCATTTTTAGCATACTGTAGTAGTAATGTGGTTTAGAGAGTTAATTTAATTAATCTTAAAATACAGCAGGAGGTTGGGGGGGAGGCGTGGTCAGCAGTAAGCATGAATAGACGCACATCGGCAGAGCTCCGAACCTACATTGCAAAAACTTGCAAAATATCCCAGCTAACAGCTCCCATTAACTGAATAACGCCAAACCCCCCAAAAGAGACAATCATGGGGCACAGGCACAAAATCCTCACCATCCAGATACGATTGCCTGATATATCGGCAGACATTTTGTGTTAAGACAGAAATTAAAAGTGTATATTGCCAGTCACACTTAGATCATAGGTGACTCCATATTGTATTTCCAGGGTAAGAAAGACACAGAATTTCTTTCTATCACTCTATTCATCCAAGTCTGAGCTAAGGAATGCGTTATGTAAACAAGATAAATGATGTCTAACAGCAGAAAGGGGATGGGATACTAATCCAGAGACAAATGTATACATAATTATATATATATATACACACTATCCACTTATAATACTAATATTATATTAATCAAATATAATTAGTATCATGTTAATAATATAGACCATTCTTATATGGATAAGAAAAATCATATTATTTAATAATGTTAGTGGAATATAATTAATCTTAAACACTGCTTCACAAAAGAACCAGACACCAATGACAGATAACACTAAGTAATTAATTTTACTTTCTAAAAAAAATGAAATCTTACAAAGTGCCATTGTCAGAAAAAGGGTGAAATTAAGGTTAGGAGGTGTCAATTCTAAAATTACGATTGAAATTACAGACACAAAGTCTGGGATAACACTGGGAAAAACAAAGAAAATGCTTTGAGGTGACATGTCCTGTTATTGATAGGGGGCCATAAAGATAAGCCAAAATGACATAAATAAAACTCATCATCGATTTCAGTTAACCCATTATGTAAAAAGCCAAATGGACCCCTTGACAAGAAATTTTGATGATGTAATTGCGCCATCTACTGACCAAAATCTAGATGATAGTCTGTAGGGAAGACACACCTACAGTTCCCTATTGGTCTTATCAATTTGTGACGTGCAGAGAGTTTGGCCCTTTAAAAAGTAAGGACAAAGGGGATTCAAAAAGTCAGACATTCAAACACTCAGCTCTTTGGGGCACTCATACTCTTTGAACCACATTCAAACTTTTTCTTTGAAACACTTGGACTGCACTCAAGAAACAACACTTTCCTGACACTTAATTTTACTATTACTTTCCAAATTAACACAACTCCAGAACTCTGAAAACTTTTTCTATTGCATGCAATCATAATCATACTTGCATACAAATTCCTGGGACAGATCTACCCATCTGATAAAAAAATCTACAACCTAACTGGTAATTATGCTGGTTTTATTTAATTAATTTAAATTAATTAAAATTTTTACGAATAGCAGGAATATATATCTGGATAAATCTTGCTCAGATTTCAATCATTAGAAATCTTAGTTAACTGAGGAATATATGGTTATAAAAATTCCATTCCTGCAGGTGGAATAAAGATAACAAATTTGCCGCGTGTTAGCATACCATTATTTTTATCCAAATGTATTGACTTGTTCTGAAATAAGATAGTGAATCTTATTTAGGAAAGTTAAAATTCGTCAAATGTAAAATCTGGTAGAATTATTCTTATTGGATGGTTCTAGGAATGGTTAATGATCTGATATGAACATTACTTTAATTGTAAGTTACAAAATAATAGGATATATCATTGCCTATGCCTATGCCTATGAGGATTGTAGCCAGCAGTGAAAAGCTAAATTCAGTGTGGTCTAACTGTCAGCCAAAGTTTTTATTGCTTTTCGCTGCACTGTTGTGTTCTGTTTTGCCTTCTGTCTGTGAAGTTGGTTTCTAAGTGAAGTGCCCTATCATAAATCTTTTGACAACTGGTCACTTTTAGCCACTGTATTGTGTTTAAACCATTGCCATATTGTATGCCTATGTTATCCCTAAATATTCACTGATTATTGTCACGCATGTTACATATATTATTTTTATTAATATTGTCACAATAAATTATATTTTTATAATGAAATTGTGATTTACTGTGTGAAGTAAAAATCCTCTAGTGAAACTTCCTCTAGGATCTAAGAGAATTAAAATCGTGGATAATTCTCAGCTTTCTATTATCATTTTTGGGGAAACAGTGCCAAGATATCAATTTTGATATAATAAACATTATTAAATTAATTTTTGATCATTTTTATGAAAATATTATTTTAATATTTATTACTCCATAAATATTCTCACAGATATTAGGCTTGCCTTCGAGAGGCCCGCGCAGAAGGCCCTCTCCAAAAAGACGCCCGCAGCCCCAAGTGAGGAGCAGGCCTCAGAAGCCTCACAAGATGAGGGGGATAGACGATGCCCACACAGACCGAGCGAGTCACACTCAGACTCCGACTCGGATCCAGACTCGGCCCCAGTTACCACACAAGGTGTGGAAAGCAGACCTCAAAGAGACACAGGCAGAGGTGGGTCAGCTGAGAAAGAAAATTATAGAAGCGGAGACCAGAGACAAAAGCCAGGAGAGCCAGATACAGGCAACCCAGGGACAAGTAACTGACCTGGCAAAACAGGTGCAGCAACTCACACCTTCCGTTACTACACTGGAAGCAAGGCACAGACGCTGGAACATCCGGGTGCGGGGCGCTCTGGAACACATTGGCGGAGACAAGCTTCTCCCATACATAAACCACCTAGTGGTCTTGATGGGCCTAAAAAAAGAAGGCGACCCTGAGGAGTGACAAGAGACATATCAGTCAGACATCAGTCAGACCCACCATCATGAAGAGATCCAGAGAACTGGGTACAATCCAGTTCAAAAATAACTCCATAACCATATACAGAGACATACCATTTGAAGTACTGCTGGAGAAATGGCAACTAGCTCCCACAGCAAAGGCATTGAGTGATGCATCGATCCGCTATAGATGGGGAGACGACGGCTCCCTTATAGTCTCACAGGGCACCAAAACCATTACCCTGACCTCCAAAGAAGACCCGAAGACCCTGTTCCTACAATTGGACAGGATTGCAAAGGGCACAGACAGCGAAGTGACTTGACTCTGCCGGGTCAGTAGAAATGTACCCCCCGCGAACCAACCAACCCTGTCATCCAGTTAGCCTAAATGTTTTAATAAATAAGTTATTTTAAATCAGTTGTAATAGACTATTGACCCACTAGAGGAGGACCAGGGCCCAGGTAGCTACAGGTCAAAATTAAATGGGAGATTTTTACACTGGAAAAGTATTTAGAAAAAGAGGTCTGAGATTTAGAAAATCTAGAGGTCTGAGATTTACTAAGTTCCCCACCTTTAATAGGGAAAAATAAAGTTTTATCAATAAATGGACCTCAGCACTAGAGTCTTTTTCTGTGACTATGATTAACATCATCATAACCGAAAGGAAAGAAAATTTAACTGAAATAGACAATCTCATTAAAGAAATAGAAACAAAACTAGCACCCTTTGTAGGGACACTTGATTTTGATACTTTGGCTGGAAAAGTAAAAAATAAAATTGACAAAATTGAGAGTTCAATTGTCACCAATAAAAAAAGAAAGTTCCAAAGGGACATAGAAGATTATACTAATAATAGAGTAAGAAAGGTCCCATATGATAACAAAAATCAGGACAGACCTGACAGAAATAGGTATGTTCAGAGACAATCAAACTATCAATCCCCGATTAGAGGAAATAGGACTAGGAAACCATCATATAATAGAGAGAGCCTAATAAACCATCCAGGCACCACCATAATGATAATATTCGACCATATAGAGTCCAGAATCCCGTTACCCCCAAACATCGCCCTACGTATAGTGAGAAAGTCCAAGAGGGAGGTCCTAGAAATAGAAGTCCCTATAAGAAAATACCATCACAGAATAAAGAACCTTTTCAAATTCCTCTAAAAAATAGTTTTGAACAGTTAAAAGAAAAAAGGGATGAGGAGGTGCCTTTTTTAGAATAAAGATCAAGATGGGAAAGTCATTTAAAAGATACCCCAAGAAAAAGATACAGAGCCTTAGAAGAGGAAAGAGAGGAGGGAGAGCTTTTCGCAGAAATAAGAAGAAAAAGACCAGCAATATAAAAGTGTTTAATTTGTCTAAAAAAGTGCTATCAGCAACACAAACAAAAGTTTTAACTAAGGGGTTCAAATTTGCACCAAGTTGTTCAGTGAATAAATTCGAAACTTATCTTGATAATAATAGATATACAAGGAAATTATGTTTAAAACATTTTTTGAAGAGAAAAGAAACACAAACACCTTTTAATCAGAATACAATTCAAAGTGTTAAGTCAGATATTATACATTCAAATTTAAAGAGCAAATCTAATTTTTACCCTTTATTTTTAAAATCAGATAATATGAGAGTTTTTGAACGTGCATGCCTTGAGGAAATTTATAAAATAAAACCCTTATCTAAATATTGTCAAAATCTCACGTTCCAGGAAAAACAAGCTATAGAAGAGATACAAAAGGACCCAACAATAGTAGTAAAACCAGCGGACAAAGAGGGGGTGTAGTAATTTTAGATAAAGTGCAATATTTGGAAGAGATAAAACGACAACTAGGGGATGCAAATACGGATAAAAAAACTGAATAAAGATCTAACAATTGATATTAAAGAAATATATACAACATATTTGAAAGAAGGACTTGATAATGGTATTATCAACGACAGTGAAATGTCCTTCTTATTACAAGAACATCCTAGAATACTAGTAATATATGTACTTCCAAAAATACATAAAGACCCCATAAATCCCCCTGGATGTCCAATAATATCGGGTATTAATTCAGTCTTATCACCTCTTTCTCAATACATCGACTTTCACCTTCAACCTTTAGTGAAAAAGAGCCAATCATATCTCCAAGACACGATGAGTTTATTAAATATTTTAAAGGATTTTAAATGGGAAACGGACTACTTCATGGTTACATGCGATGTAACTAGCCTATACACAATAACTGAGCACAAGAAAGGATGTGAGGCTATAAAATGTTCCCTAAACCAATCTAATCTTTATAAAGACATACACAGAGACTTTATTTTATGGGGTATTAATATGATCCTTGAAAATATTTATTTTTGGTTTGAAAATGATTTTTATATGCAAATGAAAGGAACAGCAATGGGGACCAGGTTCGCACCGAGTTATGCAAATTTGTTCATGACGCATTGGGAAAAACAATTTATTTATCAAGACCATGAATTCAGTGCGAAGGTGGTCCTGTATAAAAGATATATAGATTACATTTTTATGATTTGGAAGGGATCAGATATTTTATTCAATACTTTTTTTAATACTCTTAATACCAATGACTGGGGAATTATTTAACCAAGAATATTAGTAATGATAACATAGATTTTTTAGATTTAAATATTTATATTTCAAACAACCAGATAATGACTCGAAGTTTTCTTAAACAGGTTGATGTTAATAGTTATTTTGATATAAAAAGCTGTCATCATCAACCTTGGCTCTTTAATATCCCTAAAGAACAGTTTTTAAGAATGAGAAGAAATTGTTCACATCTCCCTGATTTTTATTCACAAGCATGCACTTTAAAAGAACAATTTGTAGAAAAAGGGTATGATGAGCAAACTCTAGCTGCTATGGAGAGATCACCGCTTTTAAAATATGGGAAAAAGAATAATACTAAAGATATCTCTAGAGACCATATCCCATTTTAACTATTCTAGCGATGTGGGAAAAGTAAAACACATTATAAAAAAGAATTGGCATATCCTGAGACAGGAACATGAAATAAGAGAATTTATTGGTAAAAAACCTAAATTTATTTTTAGGGGGGCTAATAATTTCAAACAAAACTTAATAAGAAGTTTTATAGAGAAAGAGACCCCAAAGGTTACAAATAACTTTAACTACGTGGACACAAAACCAAACAGGCTTTTATCACTGTGGTTCGTGCAATGCATGTAACAATTCAAACATAACTAATAAAAATGTGAAAGAATTTGTTTCCACGGTAACCAATAAGAAATATAAAATTAAAACCTTTATTTCCTGTCATACTAAGAATATAATCTATTTACTAAAATGTGCATGTGGGTACCAGTATGTCAGTAAGACATCCAGAATGATGAAAATTAGAATTAGTGAGCATATTAGAAACATCAAGAAGGGTTTTATAAATCATAGTGTATCTAGGCACTTTTTAGAAAAGCACAATTCAGACCCTTGCACTTTAGAATTTTATGGAATAGAAAAAATAAATAATCATTGGAGAGGGGATGAATTGAGGGGAAAAATTGAGTCTATAAGAATCAAAATGGATTTTTGAAATGAGGACACTAACCCCTTTAGGACTAAATATAGATTTTGAGATTAATTGTATTTTATGATCCTCTTATTTCTATTCCTTTTTCTTATGTGTTGTTTTTTTAACACTATTTATGTTTTTTTTATCAGGCTTTATGTGTATCACTGGTTCTTTGTATACCTATATTTATCGAAATAGCAGGAAGAGTTTTTGAGATTATTCATTATCTTTTATTTCCATTTTTTAGCAGTTTTAATTATATATATTTAATAAATTTTTTGTTACATTTTGTTTTTATTTCTTCTATCTTTGCATATATTGAATGGACATTATGGGCACCTATGCCCACTTCCAAAATGGACCCTAATCGTTATATACCACCCCTTTGGGAGGGTTACAGAGCAAAGATCGCCGCAATGAGAATACATAATAGGAAGTGACGTCGGAACAAAGCGTCACCGGAAGTGACGCGACGCATTAGAAGCCAGAAAAATGTTGGCGGAAGTGATGCGACAGAACTCGGGAACGTGTCACCGGAAATGACGGAACGCAAGAGACTACATGGACACAATCATTGGTCTTGTATGTGTGGGAGGGCATAGTTCAAGGTCATAAACCAGAAATGGCGCCATATTGGTGATGGCGAACCATATCCGGTTATGACCATATCTGGAAGTGGGAGGGAATTTGTACCCCAATTAACACCAGCTGTAATTAAGTAAGACATATATATATTTGACACATGTTAAATGTACAGTATACCTGCACCTGAGGAAGACCTTACAGAGGTTGAAACGCGTTGTGCTTTTATTTATTTATTTTATATACTAAAGTTTAAATAAATACTTTTTATACTTGTCACCTGGGATCCTGGAATCTTTGTTGCTAACATCACTAAGTTCTGAGTTCCTGTGGATGTGACTGCTGAATATATCTCTTTACTTATCTCCTGGAGTGAGATGAAATGCTCTATAAGTTCAGAGCCAACTTTTAATGGGCTCAAAAAATTGTGAGTTTATAGACTACTTCTATCTATTATATTTGATATAAATACAGATTACACTATGTATATGTACATCTATTTTATATAGGTTAAAGAATTGTTCTACAAGAGGACAAATTAACACACTGTTGAATTAGAACACTACAGCAGGTTGATCACCAGTGCCTTTTTATATATCATAGATTTACTTCATATGAAAATATAAAAAGTCATAGATAATTACGCTGTTTACGCAGTACAATAATACAGCTGTTTACAGGTAAACACAGCTTATACCATGCTGAATCTCATTTGTATTTCAAATTATTCAACTGAAAATGAGCATGATTAAAATGCCCTACTGAGAACAATTTCAGATGTGAATGTGGTTGACATTCTTTTTTTTTCCAAAGCCATTTTAACACTATTATGTTTTAATAAGTCAGATTTTATTTTTGTTTTTATTTATGTTTC